GGGCATTGTCATTGCGCAGCAGTCCCTGTGGCCGTGGAGAACAGCCCCAGCGGGTGTCTGTCCTTCTTTCTCCTGTGGAGCCAGAGGGTGAGTCCACGCTGCCACCCTTGGGTCAGTGGCCGAGCATTTACCCACTGCAACAGCAGCAGGACTTCTTAAGGTGTGTTGAGAATGGTAACACTTTGGAACAATACCGTGACTATGTGCATCTGGTATAATTGTTCTTGTCAGTTTTCTAATCCTCAATCATTAGCTGGCCTTGACGTTACCGTACTTTCATTTGTCAGTGGCTTTGCTTCTCCAACATCTCTGTCATCAACTTCATGGGGGATAAGGACTGCTGTTAAGGGGGCAGATGAAAGGCTATTGCAGCAATGCAGGAGTGTGATGATAACTTAGGCGGAGGTGACGCTGAGAGAGTAGGCAGAAGTGGCTGGTTTCTGAGTAGAGAAGGTAAACCTGGCAGGATTTGTTGATCAGTTGCATAAAGAGTGTAAAAGGACTAGTAGTCAGGGATGGATAACTCCAAGATCTTGGCCTGATTAACCGTTAAGGACGGAATTTTGAATGGCAGGAAGGAGGCACGGAGGAAGAAATAAGTAGAAGTTCCCTTTTGGATGTAGTTTGGACTATTGTTGGAGGTCCAGGCTGTTGTTAAGTGTCATCCAGTCCCGACCCATAGTGACCCCAGGCATAATCGAATCAACCCTGCCTGGTCCTGCCCCATGCTCACAATTGTTCCTGTGCTTGAGCCATTGTTGCAGCCACTCCATTCATGTCACCATGGTCGACTCTGCTTTGAGGAAGCAGTACCTTCTCAATCACCTTTGAGTGCCTTTAACTCGAGGACCCCGTCTTGCGACACTATTTCCTACAATGTTCTGTTCCTAGTCTTTAGGCCTTCAGTGTGACAGTATTTCAATGCTGTGATAAGGTTTTCAACAGCTGCTTCCTCCCATGTGGCAGGGTATTCCTTCTTCTTGTCTGTTCTTTGTCTGGAAGCTCCACTGAAACCTGGCTGGCATTTGAAATAACCAGTGGCATAGCTTCCAGCAACACACAAGCCACCACAGTACAACACACTGACAGACAAGTAGTGGAGGTCCAGGTGAGGGATATCAATGTGGGAATCTTCATATTTGTAACTGCTGGAGTTACATGAAGCAGTGGGTGAGATGAAATTTTGATGTTTGTCAAGCTGGGGGTGAGCTTTAGAAGATGGAAGTATTGACATAGATCATATAGGATTTTAGCCATAGAAGATGCAGACCCTGCCATTTCCTTTTGTTTCCTCTGCAGACCCTCACCAGGGTCAGTCCTTGTACAGAGGCAGTAAGATTTGTTGACTAAAAGGGAGTACAGCTTCTGAATTAAAAACCTGAGAATCAGGTCCTCAATATTTTAAAAAAGGAAAATTGGAATCTAGTAAGACTTTGCTAGCTAAAGCTAATTTAGAAATCCTTCATTTGTTTGGATAGTATTTTGAAAGGGAGGGGGAGAGACTTACACATGTTAACCTTTTAGAAATACATATATCGCCAAAAGATTTGCAGTTCGAATCCACCTACAGGCACCTTGGAAGAAAGGCCTGGCTACCTGGTACCCAAAGATCATGGCTTTGCAGCCCCTCTAGAGTGCAGTTCTACTCTGCAGCACATGGATCGGCGTGTGTTGGAATCAACTTGACAGCAATTGGCTTGGTTTTTTGAGTCTTTGTTAGAATTATTGATCTTATGGTACAAGTAGAGTAATAGCAAGATTTGTGTTAAAAATGGTTGGTATGACTTGAATGTAACTCTGAAAATAAAATATCACTGTCATATCTTTATGGGAGCCCTGGTGGTGTAATGGGTTACACATTGGGCTGCTAATCACAAGTTCGGCAGTTCAAAACCACCAGCCACTCTGCGGGATAAAGATGAAGCTTTCTGCTGTCATAAGAGGTACAGCCTCATAAATCCACAGGGGCAGTTCTACCCTGTCCTGTAAGGTCGTTATGAGTCAGAATCGACTTGATGGTAATGAGTGAGTCATATCTTTAATGTGCATTTGCTTCTCTTTTAGGAAGATTTGGAGACTGGAGTTCACCTTGACCCTGCTGTCAAAGAAGTTCAGTATAATCCTTCCTATGAGACCATGTTTGCTCCCGAGGTAAGGAGATGCAGGATACTTAAGGCTCTGCTTGTGACATAATAGATTCATAGATTTTAAGTTTTCTCACCAAAGCTATACTGTTTAACTTTTTAGAAAATATCCTTCTATTCTCCAAAAGTTTACATAGAAAGTTTATGTGAGAATACTTTTAAAAATCTACTAGCTTTGTTTTTAAAACCTTCATACAAACATTGGATATGTGGAGTTATATGGCTAGAGAAGAAAACATTCCTAAAATATAAATTCTTCCATGTGAACTAAGTTTTAACACTTCCCTCTGAGCATTGATGAAGAAATATTATTATAAAGTAAGCGTCCAGGGAGGCTGTTACTTATTAGCATCATCAATATATAGTAGGTTATGTAACTTCTAGTTACAAATACCACTGTGCTAACTAAGCACTAAAATGAGATGTCACACTGACCTGGATACTGCTGGCACAACAGTGTTGAATGCCAGTCTAAGCAGTACATTTATTGCATTTTTTCCCTTCTCCTAGTGATAAAAAAGGCGATGGGGGAGTACCCAGCAACAGTGGAGACTGTCCATTCTCTGTAGAAGAGACTGAATTTTCAGACATGTTGCCTTATAAAAAGGAAAAGAAATACATGATTGACAAGGAATAGAGAACCCAGAATGGTATTAATAAAACAAAAGACTAAGGCTCAAATTCGCAGGTTCTGCCAGAAGCACATGGAAGATGGAGCTGCAGAGCTGTATCTCACTGCATCTTAATGGGAAATAAAAGTCGTTCTCATTTTTTAGCAAATTAGTGTATCGTCTTTACGATTTCCCTTAATACTAGTCCTAGACTTATTATCTCATATGCCAACCTAGGTTTTCCTAGTCCGTAAATGTGTCACACAGCCCAGGGTGCCAGTGCTAGTGTTTAGACAGTGCTCCAGCTGTTCTGTTGGGTGAGCAGTGCGCAGAATCTCTTTCTCATGCTCTGAGATTGCAGCACCTTCTTCAGTTCGTTCTGTTATTTCTTGAACCCTTCTCGCCTGGAGAACTGTAGGCTGCCACGTGTCCCTGGGCACCATTGAGCAAGCACCCTGGAGAGAGGCTACAGAGGATACATTCTTCACGAGCTTTTGTGATTTAACTTTGTTTGCCTTTAATGAAAAAACTTCAGTAAGATGGGGCCACCGAATTAGAAACTGAGGACATTTGGAAGTTCTGGTCTAAACACATTCCTGTCAGTTTCACAGGAAGTCTGTTTTCCCGAAATTATTAAACTCGGTGCTTAACGAATGCATTCTTGTCTAATTGCAGTTTATACACTCTCCCAGGAAGAGGCAAGTTATCGTGGGTGGGTGTGTGTATGTGTGTATGTGTGTGTGTATGTATGTGTGTATGTATGTATGTATGTATGTGTGTGTATGTATGTGTGTATGTGTGTATGTATGTATGTATGTGTGTGTATGTATGTATGTGTGTATGTATATATGTGTGTATGTGTGTATGTATGTGTGGTGATGTTGATGAGGCAGGAAGCCCCTCATTCTCCTTATGGAATTACGGATCCTATGATGTTCTGTTCTTTTTTCTTCAGTTGAGGAGCCCCACATTAAATATAGAAACTAGTTCCTTAGGAATATAGCCGATGCTTGTTGACAACTTAAGAAAAGTGTAATGTGATTTAAAAGAAAAATTGTCATTTTCCTCATTGCCAGATTACTAGGCTAAAACATGATAATTGACTAGAATCTGAATAATAATATGGCAGTCTAGCCAGGTGTTACCAGGTACTTTGTTACATTAAATTCATCTTTTGAGAGTCCCTTCTTTGAAACAAAGGAGCCTTGGTGTCAGGAGCGAGGAAGTGTTAGACTGCTAATCACAGGTCAGTGGTTCAAATCCACCCGTTTGCCTACAGGAGACAGAAGGAGCCGTCTGCCCCCATAAACAATCACAGCCTCAGAAGCCCCATATAGAGGGTTGCTATGCATTGGAGCCAACTCAATTGCCAGGAGGTTGAATTTCTTTGATTTTTTTAAATAGAGACCAGGCTATTTGTTGTAATGCCTCTAAAGTACTGCATAAGCTTGAGGAAAGACTGTATTTTGGGTTGAAGAATAGAAAAACTTCCTGGAAAGAATT